TGCCTTGTAATCGTAAACTTCGTCTTTAGTGATCCACAAGACCGATGGATTTCTCACCAGATTTGAAAAGCACTCACGTTGCAGAAAATTTTTTCTAGATTTTGAGGGAAGTATAAAAAGGCGGTTTTCCGTACTTCCCTCAGAAAATAACAACCTTGCGGCTTCGCATAGCACTCACCTGACCGACACAAAATGTTCTCGATGACATGATTCTGGCTGCTTTCGGTGATGCTGACTCCCACCACGGCATTCAGTGACCGCACAAACTCAGCAAATTCACTTCGACGAACTCTACCACTTCCATGAACGTCACACATCGCGAACAGGAGTTTATACTTGTCCTTCACACTTCCTAAAAAGTAAGTCATTAAGCCATGGTTACAGCAGGTGTTGGTTGGACCTACAATGTCCTGAGGTTTTATGAGGTACCACATTTCATAAGTTAATTAACAAATGAATCTCTTCTAGTTGAAGTAATACTATGTAGGCTGCCCTGTTGCATATTGCTACGATAGTTTTCTAAGGTTATAGGCTCAAAGGAACCAAAGCAAACAATAAGTAGAAAGTTACCTTCACTGAACTTCCTGAGAACTTCAAGGAATTCTGCGAACGTGATGACGTCGCTATCGGAATGTGTCGTGACAGCGAACATTCGTTGGACAAAAATGTCCGTTTCCCTCATACCCATCGCCTGCGCAAGTTCGTACCTGATATTGAATATATTGAAAAGATGTATAGAGGATGAAAAAATAGAGCATTTCACGTTGGACAGTCCCGTCTCGGAACCCGCCATAACTTAAACTTAAAATCGCGAGTCAGGATCTAATTGGTGTGCCATTTTGTTCGAACTTAAGACAACGACTGCGATAAGAAACCCTAGTGGGGAGGAGAAGGAAAAAGTTCCATGGAAAACACTCGAATTTCTTTTGTGAGGTCGGCAGACGGAGAGACACAGGGCTGCGAGGGGAGGGAAATGCGAGAGGGCGCAAACGCCACGTACGTCGCGACTGTTGGGGTGGACAGCGACTGCAGCGGTCGAGGTAAGAACTTACCTTAATTTTGATCGCAGCACTGTCGTAGCTTCTGGGCTCGGGGACAGCTCTTCCTCATTGTAGAGGGACTACCTCTTGACACCCAACCCCAACCCGTGGTTCTAAATTCGGATCTTATGGCAGATGGAGTTGGACAGTTTTGATTTTACCCATAGTACGACTTTTGGGCATGGGGAGGGGGGAGGCCGATGTAAATGATTCCTGATTCGATCCTCCAGGCAATTTCGGCACCAAATGACCGACACTGGAGGAACACTAGGAATGAAGCGAGCATCGTTGAGCTACCGGCCATGCGTCGATAAAGAATGTCATCCCTGGATGGAGCATGGGGTAAGCAACGCCATCTCACGAATACACTGTCGAAGACGCGTAGCGTTAAGACCTATAGTAATCACCTAGTGATGGTTTGATGGAGAATGTCGTCAGTGTCATCTTCCTTAACCTCCGAATCGCTTCAGCCTTGGTTGATTGAACGCTCGAGCGTAAGCCTCACGGAAGAAATGGTCCAAACGCTGCTGACGGCGGTCCTGAAAACAACGAAGTGGTGCTTGAGAATAGTGCTGGTGAATTCTTTATTCATCGTTGAAGACCAATATCTAGTATTCAACACCTTCTTTCGCTTTCTCGGCACCGCGCGTCTCGCCATTGAAAATCGAAGTCACCATGCTCGTCGAGGCTTCTTCAACAGAGAGAGTAAGTGCGGCCAAGAACTCTGGCAAATGCTTATCGGACGGTAGTCGAAGGACCTTAAGGTTCAATCATAACATTATATAAGTACCTGCGGACAAAGCGAAAGATCAACACAGGAAACTCTTTTGTGACAACGACTTTCAATAGTTAGATATCAATTATTTGATTTCATACTCATATACAAATCAGTAGTTCTTTCTCATCTTTATGAGGCAGGTACGAGCCCAATGAAAGAGACGCATTCGGAATCGCTATATATACGGTTTATCTAGAATAATACACAGATGTGATACTCTAGATAACGATGTCGAGAGAAGTGTATAAAAGGAAATAGAATCGCCCAGTCTAACGGAGGTCACGTAGCGCGCTACTTTCATTCAAAATGGAGAGGCGATCGTAGGTGCACCGGAGTTAAATACCCACCACACGATCGAATTTTGCGAATGGCACACGAACATGCGGACACATTATAGCGTGGAGGAGACTGTCAGTGAAGGAAATGAAGAAAACACTAAAAATGCTGGGCGAATATACGGAGGGAGCATCCTCTAGGACTAACCCTAGAAGGGAGAGGAACTCCGAACAAAATAAAAAATATCCTGCGCACCACAGCCTCTCCGCTCCAGCCTGAGGCTCATTGTCGTTCTTAACGAGGACATGTTTTACACAGTATTGAAGGCATAGCTACCACAATGCCCCTGTATCTTGCGAAAGCGCCAAATACTGGAATGTAGGGCCGCTTTTCTGAAGAGTAACCCTGGTGTGGCTGCGAGAGAATATGCGAAAGAGCATCAAGAGTGAGAGGTCGGAGACCTCTCCATGTTGCAGACAAGAAACACCAAAGCGGTCCAGTAAAGCACTAGCTCCCTTGTCGCGCACTTCCAACCCGCGAGAGCGTAACATCTGCAACACTACATAGTGGGCAACTCCACTCTTGCCCACGCATGTTGTCTGCTCACACAAGTCACAGATGTGCCTTTCTCGGCTCGAAAGTGTACAATAGGGGCGCTAGTGCCTTGGTAATGGTTCCGATTACTGGCCCTTATTGGCTCTCCTATTCTTCATCCGCAACGACCGTGTGTCTGCTTCCTCTCGTATGGCGTGCGCTCTCGCGTATCCTCTCTACTTGACTGACTCTGTTTCGCCACATTTCCATTGTCGATCTCACGAAATAGGAGGCAGTTATTTTCAGTGTTCTCAATTCAGATTTCTTGCTTTTTCTCTGTCGCCAGTCATCTTCGCAATTCTACATTCCTCTTCAAAAAAATAAGCGCAAATATTGATCGAGCAGTGTGCCTTTAAGTGTGAATTTTCTACAAATCAATGTGGAAAATGGTTCACCTATTGAAAGACCCCACTGAGTCACGAGCTCGTTATATGCTGCGGTACAACGGATTCCCAAAACTTCCATAAAAAAGTCACCTGAGCATTCTCCTGGGAAAATCATTTTCCTCAGAATCGGTCCGCGTGGTTTTCGAAGCGTTAAAGTACCAGGTGAAAACTCGACGATCACTTGACGCACATAACATTCTTGAAGCCACTCGAAAGCTGAAAGTGGCGACCTTTGTTGGTTTCTGGGCTCGAATGAGAATAACACCTGAATAATCTTGGGTTTTAGAAAGAGCTCTTACCTTGAATGTGGTAGCGATCTTGTGGAGCATCATCGTCGATGGCCGTGGCGGAGAGGTCGTCAAACGAGCTGTCCCATCCCATTCGGCGACGTCTTTGAACCAGTACATAGCCGATGCCAAAGCAGACTGTAAAAGGTTAATTTAAGCAGAGTATTTCAGACAGATAGGATGTACCCTCCATTGCGGAGAACGAAAAAAGCGTCGAGTGCAGACCACACACCACAAGTGACGGCGGACAAGAAAAGAAGGAAAAGCCATCCTTTACCGTCGTCACTTGTGGTGTATGGTCTGCACTCGACGCTCTTCTTGTTTTTCGAAACAAAGGGACGCGAGAAATGAAACCCACTTAGCGGGATACATCCGAGTCCGATGAGAGTGAAGATATAGGTGACTTCATTTCCGGTGAAATGGTCGAATCTCATGAACGGAACACACTCCTCAAGTCCTGGAAGGATTCTCTCACTAATGGTAAATATCCCAAAAAAGGTGATCCTGTAGTTGGAGGGGCCAGCCAACTGCGCGTCAATCCTCTTGTCTGCTCTCTCTGTATGAGAAGCATTCAGCGAAAACAGATAAACTAAGAGCCAGGAGCAATTTGGCGAAATTAGGGAGATCGGGGTGTGATATCGTTTTTCTAGGAAAGATGTAAAACCTTAAAATATGTCGGTAAGAGGCAGACAAGCGAGCCAGCGCCATTGGCTAACCCCCGCCCCCCCCCCACATCCCTCCTCAACAACAGTAGCTTAAAATAAAAATAAAAATAAAACGGGGTGTCCCAGATGACATGAGCTACTACTACTACGAATGCAAATGCAGCAGTCGCTTGCTTGAAAAGATCGCCATTAGCTAGAGGGGGTACTGTATTCCGGCATACTGTATTTTAGTTTAGCTCACCTGTGACGTTGACTTGGAACGGTTGAGGGCATGGATCACCTTCTTTGAAAAAGAATACCTAAAGTAGCACCCTGAAGCGAAGAAAATAGAAGCTAGCAGTCTTTTAGAAGGCAGCAAAAGATCTCACGTCTTTCTGCAGCCATTGGTCTGATATTGCGGTCGTGTCGCGGATAATGTCCCTCAGAGTGGTGTTGTGAATCTGCTTAATTTCCTCGTCGCTGAACAGCCCATTTTGTTTGTTGCTTCAGCAACCAAATCTACAAAACGGGGGTTTCCATGGGATTGCAATTTGACTTTAATAGTCCTGTACTGACAGATGCTATTCATCAGAAAAATTAAGAGTGAGGGTCTTCAGCAAGCGCGTCTCCAGTCAGATCATACCTGTCTGAGTCTCGAAGCCTTTCGAATTGGTCCTTGATGATCGCCTTGAACAATTCGCCTGGTCCATTATCCACCTCGAGCATTCCTCCAACATAAGCGTCCAAATAGTCAATGCTGCCGTAAAGTTTTTCTAGTTTGTCGAACATCTAAAAAATAGGCAAGCAGTTATTTGATTTGACAGAAAATGTACCGGTGAAGCAACGTTTCGTGACGACCAAAGAAACAATTTCACTGGTACCCGACAGGAGGCCCGCCACGTGGCGAGAAGGCTGAGATGCAAACGAATCACTGGGCGAGTCGCAGCATAAACTGTGCAATGTGAGACGCACTATCGTAGATTCTAAATAACTTGACGCTCAATCGCTACAGTACGCGCTGCGACTCATCCGCTCTCCCATATGCGACTCCGCCTTCTCACCACGCGACGGACCTCCTGTCGCCCAATCTTGTGTATAAGTAACTGAATATATGATGATATACCGTAACTCACGCAGTGCTGGGGCACGATCGGACCCGTTCGGCATTGACGTTAAGGCACGAGTGAATGCTTTGCGTCCTCCTTAGCCACCGTACCCCAGGTGTTCCGCAGGCGTTTCACGGGCAACTGTCCAAAAGTGGGGGGTCGTGCGCACGCAGGCAAGCGAAAAGAATACTCGTTCTGCCTCGTCTAGCTGTGTCTCGTTCCCCCCCCCCCCAATGTTCTCTCGTCTTCGAGTGTCCTTCTCACGTTTTAGCGCCCACTAGCTCTAAGGTTGTCTGTAGTCTATACTCTCTTATCACAAAAATAGAAAGAGCTTTGCTTGTGTATTTTCAACGGCTGCGTCCGTTATTTCTTATTCTATCAATAAATGCGCCCATTTGTTCAAGTTTGTACCCCCATATTTATCCCTTTTGCTGTCGTGCAATGTTCATCTAGGCTGATATGACTCAGTTATTCGAAATATAGAAGAAACCTTGGAAGAGAATGTCCTACGGTGAAACTGCCAATAAGCCGAGGCCTAATAAAGCTCAACCCAAATCACAAAAGAATTGAAATACGGAATGTTTTAGGGAGGTCTATGTGAGCCACATACCGTTCTGTTGGTTTTGTAGAGTTTTGGGTTGATCGTGTCCCATGTCTTCGCCGGGAGATTGAACGTTTTTCTCAGAACATTGTACGATGGCAGACCATTGTCACGTCCTCGCATGATGGACGAAGCGACCACATCCAAACGCGTGAAGTGCATTGGACCAAAGATAAAGTCTGTAAACATTAACACTGTAAACACCTTTTTTTCGTACACGTTTGTATAATGTATGCGCTCGTTCCTTCAGACGGGCATGTTCTTCGACGTATGTCGGACCAGCGGTAATAAGTAATGTGCGGTGGGCGCATTATTTTGTCAGGGTCCAAGGGCTCTCAAAGGCGTCAACCATCCATTGAATTCAATGCTTGACGAATTTCACGACCCGCGTTTTTGTAGTGGGGGGGGAGTCTCCGGTACGATCTTCCCCACTAACCACAATCAGTCTTCAGGGGGCATCCGCACCATACACTCATTCCCCTCAACATCCCCACAACCAACTACCCATCGAGGCGCGCCCTGCTTCAAAGAGTAGTTGATTCTGCGACTTCTCGACAGGTATACAGCCGTTGAGTGGAAGGGGGTGGGCGCAGGGGGGGGGGGCTTAATTCAAAGAAGCTGAAGCCGCGAATCCTCAATTTTGAACATCATGCTTATATTTCTCAAATATCTAGCAAAATTACTAGTAACACGAAAACTCGCCAAAAACGGCTCTACGCGCCGGAGCCACGAATACTACTCACTTTGAAAAAACACAAACTTCGGGGCCAAAACGTTTGACCTCCAACAACCCCTAATACGACCCCAGCCCTCCAGAAAAACTCAAATACGAGCCCCACTTCGGCTCGAGAACTTGCTACGCACCTGGTTCCCACACTATCAATCGATCCAAGTACAATGTAAGGGTCACATTCGTTATTTTCGGATGGGGGGTTCTATTCGAGACATATTTTCAACTACAAAATTTAGGCAGAAATTCTTCCACATCTCGAAATCTTCTACTTCCAATTTAACCTCTGTTTTATCTGATTTTTGCAAGTGGTTGCGGCGAGTAAAATTCCCGCCCAAGGCGAGCTTCGCCATAACAAACAATGTGGGATGTCTTCTTCCTATATTTTCCAAACGCATGACGCCAGTCTCAACAAAGGCACTTGTACCCCCGCTACCATTTTCTCCCACACCCCTCATCCCCCCTCACCACGATCAACCGTGCGCTGCGCAGATTTCAAAAATTTAGGCCTCCTTCCCTTGTTTAGGAGGTCTCGGTACGACTCACTACCACCACAGTCAGCATTTGGAGCTTTCACTAATACGAACCACCCCCCCCCCCCCCCTCCTCCATCGCTTGCTGTTTGGACTAGTGATTCTGAGACCAGTCGACATTAGCTCAACTCCGTCCCACCTTTCCTCTCCAAAACGGTCGTCGAGACCGCGCGAAGGGGGTGGGAGGGTATCATGTTCAAAAAATAGAAGATCCTTCAATTTTTTTCTACTTCTTGTTTCTTTCATGCGACCACCTCTGCTATCAGCAAGATCCCTTCGATTTCCAAAAATACAACCCACCTGATCCCACCTCTTGACCTTCACCAACCCAAAATTACGTATTGCCTTCAAAAAACTTTCAGATGACTTACCCCCCTCGTGAGAACGGCGGCAACGCATGGTGGGACCCTGCCCCCCCGGCCAGGTGGAGTGCTTGGATGATCGAGCATATTTTTGAACGCTCACTCGGTAAATCTCCACACGACAAGATGGCAAGCCATTCCGAGAATGATTTCATCCACTGTGTATTCTTGAACGATATCCTGTGCGTTCCACCTGGAAATAGGAAATTAATTGCTTCGAATTGAAAATTAATCGCATCGAAATTTGAGGCGCAATGTGGCATTAGGGGGGGACGTATCATTGTGTCAGATTCACGGTAAAGTTCACTTTTAGGACTAGGTCTTAGAGGAGAAGATGAGCGTTGGCAATTCTCATTCTCTCCACAGTTCTTCTCTCTCCATGGCGTAGTCTTAGTAGGCGTAGTCCTAGTGGCCTTCCCCTTCCTACATACACCCCCCTTGAAAGCATATTGCGCCAATTTTAATTCTAGAAAATCTATTTTTGGTAATGCTACTTCACAAGGAGTAAAATCTTACCAGTTCTGACAGAGACGGAGAGCCGGAAAACCGCCAACCTCGTCACGAAACTCACAGCCGTCCACATTTTTTCGAAGAAGCATTGCCGGTGGTACCTGGAAAACACAACGCGTGATTTAAAATTCAAAACTGAAAGCTATCACGCAAAATCGAAAACGTGCTCGGTGAGGAACCCGTGACTCACAATGCTGTGCGGAAATCGGAAAGCGGCAGCAGCAAATGTATGTGAAATGCCGGGAGGCACATGTGGCATGTACTTTGTATAAGGCTTCACTTCCTCATTGATCAGAGCCGGAAGGAAATCGTAAAAAATGATTTTCTGAAATTTAAGCGGTCATTTCATCCCGGTTTTCTCCTACCTTTCCAGTGAATTTGAGGAAAATAACCAAATATGCTCAAGTTTCATAGAAATATTGAATAACTTATCAAATATATAAGTATTTGAAAATATCCGTATAGTACACGAAGATAAAGTATAAAATATGAGACACTTAAAGGCAGCGACCACGACGGCTGGAAGGGCACAAGGAGGCGGTCCCAGCCACAGCCGCTGATTGGTCAAGACCACCAATGACGACAAATGCCGTCATCGGAACCGCACCGCCCTCCAGCCATAGTGACCACTACCTTTGAGAATTCCACGTAGGAGCACCTGAAGAGTAGCGATGAGCCATCGTCTAGCGGCTTGAAAGAGCTCTTCATCAGTCCATTCTGGATGCGCCTTCTGCATTCTGGAATTTCATCAATGAACTCCTTATCAGCTGATAAGACAGGTCTTTTTCGATTATTCATGGTATAAAATGATATCGAAAATTTTAGAGAAGCTCATTATTTTCTCGAGCTGATATTTTCTGAAGAACAGATCGGGTGAAGTGGTTTTACTAACCTTTCCGCCATAATGTTATGCCATCTGTACAGAATGATACCAAACGATAGCAGACCTGGATTCTCATTCACTCGCGAGTCGCCGAGAACTAAATCGAAAAAATAGCGAACAAATAAACAAATAACCTAATCAAAATTATATGGGCCAGATGGACGATCAGTAAAAGTATGATGAAATTTGCGAGTTTGGACAACAAACGATTTGTTGTCCAAAATGTGTTTGTACTCTGTTTCTTGCGAAGGGACGTGCCGTAATTGCAGACTTTTTGTTCGTGGACACACGTTTATTGATTTTTTCGAGGCCCTTCCTACGTGCACTACCGAACCTACGACTACCCAACTTCTATCCGTAACATCCAAAGTGTGCACATGAAGCAGAAACTCACGAAACAGACGGTCGGGATTCATAAGGCGATGAATTTGTGGAGGTGGCGGATTGTTCAATGGGATGTGCGGATTGTTTAGAGGTGGATATCTGGAAACAACAGCATAGCTCAACCGGTAGATTACAGGGAACTGTGGTTTAACGAACCGTTTCTGACTGCCTTCCCTGAGGGTACCGTTCTGAAACGATCGCATAGTTGCCACCCAAGCCTCCATGACGCTGTATACGAAGGAGCCATCGATCCAGGCTGTTCGCTCGTTAACCTAAAATATTGCATTGCCAATTCTTTTCTATGACTGACAGATCAACGGTGTCAGTGGCCACCGTCTTGAAACCTTCTACCAGGGTAGCCTTTCGTCGGGCTAGGTTCCACAAAAGGTATATTTGATGGAATTAACATAGCATTTGCTAGATCGAGACCCAAATGTCGCTGGAAGTGGGATACTATCGCAAAACAGAACAGAATTCAAATTCTGCAATCTTACGGTTACGGTGGGGTTTTCAGCCCTCGGAGGGCCGCACAAGTCTCCCGCTTCCCTTGGAGCATTGGACGATTACTAGAGATAGACGTGTGTCATGTAAGTTCAGGTTCCGCTAACATATTGTATTTGTTAAAGCCGCTAGAAAGAGAGCTGAACGGCTTCGAAGTGGGCGTGGTTGAAATCGGTCGAGGGGACTGCACAACCACGCCCACTTCGAAGCTGTTCAGCTCCCTTTCTAGCGGCTTTCCAAGGTGAGTTTTTTGTTCAGTCACACTTCTTATGTTCTTGACTAGGGCTAGCGCATCGTTCCACACCATTAGTGTCGAAGGTAAAAACTCTGCTGGGACGGTTGCTTTAAGAGACCGCGTTGAAGCAGTCCGTAGACGTGAAATAAGCCCAATGGGACCGTTGATTGTGGATTCTTGCCCTCTTCGCAAAGGAACCACCGCTGGATGACTTACCTTTGCTATTTATCTTCACGTTTTCACCATATCCTTATGACATTTGCTTTCATATCGAGCAATATCGTCGAATCCTTTTTCTGCTAGCGCCCAAGTATGAAAAAAGATCACTTTACCTGCTCTCTGGGAGAGTTAAAACCCTGCCCGGACTCCTTGTCGTATTTCGCGCGCGTGAACGGGATTTCGGTTCCCGTGCCATCGATATCGTAAACCTAAATGAGCCAATTTTGTCGTTCAACTGAAGTCATTTCCAGATTTTGTGCTCCTAACTGTAAGTCACAATCAACCATGGGCCCATTTCCTTGACACCCTTCTCCTCTCTATACAGAGCACTTGAAAACATTGAAAACATCAGATAGCGTTCTTACCGGGTCTCCAGGTGGAACTGGAATTTTCATGATTTCCAGTGGACAACTGGTTTGCGTCGAGCCCACAATTTCATAGGCGACCACTTGACCTAAAACATAGAGGGTTCTCCAGCTGCCTGCAATCGCTACAGTTGCTGCTTGTTGTTTCCCCAAAAGCTCGATCATGAGGAAAAGATAGTTACAGTTTCTTCAAATTTTTCAAGTGAAAGGAAAAGATTTTTCAAAATCACTGCCCCTGTGAAACAAGTACCACGGGAGTGGCGCTTTGAAAGGATAGCTCCCAGTTAAGTTAATGAGAAAGTGACCCACATGACAGACTTAAAAGATTGACTCACTGAAAAATGCGAACATGGAAGTCATGTTGCGCGCATTGCGGATTCCAGACGGTCCTGAAAAGAAGTTTCAGATATACTGTTTGTTAAATATTCAAAGATAGCGGCCATTTCGCGTTGAAGTCGCTGAAGACGTTGCCTAAGGGTAGTAGGTTACCTAAGCTACTTAAAGGACGAATTCACGATGAAAAAGCAACCCATTTCAAATTAACCTAGGGATGGTGAGTGGTACACGAAAGAAGGAAGAACCATGAGAAACGGCCCAGAACCCGAGAAATGGGACCCCTTCCTTGCCCGTTGATTCGAGCATTGATGCGACTCTCATCGCTGTGCCCTCTTCAACACTACGCTCTCTCAGCTATCTAATCACTCGCCACGTATTGAACTACGGCGAGTGATCAGATAATAGGTGATGTGATGAGATGATCGGTGGGCGGAGATCGCCGACCCGCCAGCTTTGAGGCATGATAGGTCGCCGAGGTCAAATTTTTCCATGCGAATTGCGCGTCAGTTCGCACCCTCAGGAGGTCCGTGGGTCCCTCAACTAGGTCAGTTTCCCTTTCTTCGACCTTCATTCTAATCGTGAATTCCTCCTTTTTAAAAAAGGGAACTTTGAAACAATCTATCATCGGCGAAATAATATTTTTCCAAATGGTCTGCGTTGAGTAGACTCTTGCAGGCTTGCAGAGCAACGAGTACCCTGAACCCTTTTGTTAAGAGCATGTCCGACGTGCATTGAGACCAGTTAGCATGTGGCAATGTCGCATATGTTTTGCACAACCTTCTCAGCTGACTCGCAGAAAATGTGACAGGGTGGGGCGCCCGGTGGTGCAGGGTTACAAACAGGTTGAGGAACTCGCAGAACAACTTTTACAAAAGAGCTCGTCAAGGACGTAGCACTTTTTTCAGAAGGGTTCCTTGCACTTGTAGAGGCTCTCCTCTTTTCACACCACTTATTCATTCCTTCTACCCGCTCTTACCCCCATCTTACCTCTCTCAACCGATCTTCGGTCCTCTGTGAAGTGTTCAGAAAAAAAAAATGAATGTCTGTTCCATCAACAAGGAAGACACGCAAAAAGCTCGTTCCAACGCTCTACTTCCTCTGCAACCCCTTCCTCCTTGCCAAGCTCTTCAACGGTGGGACTTCAAAACAAATGGGAACCGCTAATCCCTGCTGCTGTTGTCAGTAAGGCCTTGGAATTTATTTTGCGACACTTATGCCTTTTTTTTAGAATTTTCGTACAACAGGAAATTTGAAGTTCTCTGAAGACAAAGAGTTAGGGCTATGTTCATGTCACAGGGGATGAGCGAGAAAGGCCTGGGAGAGGGGTGGGAAAGCGAAAGTGGGGTGCGTTACAGTTCTCCTCTCTTAGGTCAGGTCACCTCAACATTGAAACAACATTCACTTGCCTCAGAAAAAGCCTAAGACCAAACCTAAGCTCAATTCTAGGCTTTAGCATATAGACATTGGGTAGCATAAGTCAAGCTACAGAGTCATAACCAAGCTTAACCTTAGGCACAATGGTCGCGCAACTCTTGCTGACCTGACCCCAGGAGGAGAACTGAACAGCTCCCGAGAAAATGGGGGAAGGTTATAAGGCACTTCTTACTCCCTCACGGAGTCCTAAAATCACTGGAGGGCTTCTATAACTTGTGATGTTGGAAGCTCCACTCTGACTCCTTTATTGACAAGCTTTCGGCGATTAACGCCTTCTTCCGGCCTTAACTAACAATACTATCGATACATCAAAACTATATACAATATACAATACAATGCAGTAAACAACGCACCAAGTAGGAAGGATTGGATTGCGTAGCTATTATATTCCTAGAAAACAACGGAGAAGATATAAGTTCCTGTAGTTTGCAAATTTCACTTGGGATGAATATTGTCAAATAAAGGAGTCAGATTGTAGTTCTAACATCACAAGCTATAGAAACTTAAAGAATGAAGCTCAGAGATAGCACGATCCTGTCACTTAGAAGGCCTCTGAAATACTTTTCAGAATTACAATTAGTGGAAGAGTACCTTTGAAGACAAGCTCAGATAGAACTCGAGCTGATGGCAACGAGAGATTCATCATGTAGACGCCATCCTCGTAGTTTGACGGGGAATCACGATGAAGTCGGCTCCCTTAATTTATGAATTAAATTCTGAACGACCCCCTGAAAAGAGCCGTTCGTGTATTTTTGTTTGCTCAAGAGGTGAAGCCGGCTATCAACCGAGAGTTTCGATGATTGGCGTCACCTTTGACGATTGTTCGCCCTCGAAACAAATAAACCGCTCACCGGCGCTTCCCCAGTCACGGTTCGCCAGATTATTGTACCAACCATCATATCGCTGGAATTCCTGCGTACGTAGCGCATCTGAAAATTCTCAGAAGAAATTCGATACATTACATAGTATTATTTATGCTAGGAAAAATACTATAGACTGTAGTACGCACGTCTGCGTCGTCGTGTCCTTCTTAAAAATTGTAATATAATTATAAAATATAAATAATAAATACAATGATGTATGATATAATATAATATAAATGATAAATATACCCATGCTATATTACATATACAATCTATATATATACCCTGGCGTTCACGGGACCCTCCGTATCAAGCATACTCGGACTCCGCCCAACGCGCAACTCCGCCCATTAACCCCCGAACGAACAGAACATAATTTAAAAAATATAAAACTTGTATGTAAAAAAATTTGTCTATTCAAAAAAACATTCGCAAAATCTGTCTACACACAAGGTTGTTTTTGTTAGTTTCAACAAGAATGCGTTTAATGAAACAAAACTTTCGCCCCAGGCGGACTAGAACCCGCACCTCTCGCTTTCCGGTAGCGTAACTGGTAGCGCACTTGCCCGGAAAGCGAGGGTGCGGGTTCTAGTCCCGCCTGGGGCGAAAGTTTTGTTCACAACCCAGCATTCTTGTGAAACATTCGCAAGGCGAACTGCGGCCAAAAACAGCAGTTAACAAACAAAACAAGTCAAAATAAAATGTCAGTTTTTCGAAAGAAATTGGCCGAAAATGTCCACCAAATGAAAAGGTAATCAAAAATCCTCCCATTCCGGAACATCTATATCTAACAAGGATTCAGGTATCAAATCTATCACCTTACAAGGTTCTGCTTTTAGAGAGCACCAACCACTAGGCCGCAGGTTTCATTTAAGAGCAATCAGTGAAACGGGAGAAAAATTAAAATAAAGTTTCTGGATGTAACTTCATTTGAGAGCTTCATGTTTGGAAAGGAGCTCCTGTAATACCCTAGAATGAAGATCTAATCGGAAGATTGTAGAATTCGCTGTGGGAGCTCCCCCTCTTCACCTTCACTGTACCTCACCTTCATGTACAAAGAAGCTGCACGATCCTACGGGAAGGGAGTGTGCCTAAGTGAGAGACATTAGCGGCGACAGAAGAGAGATGGAAGAGACAAGAGAGACACAGGCACGAGCGGAGCTGTTGGGTAGGGCGAGGTTGAAAAAGTTCAGGATCCAATATCTTTCTAAGAACCGCCCCTCTAGCACCTGCTCGCCTTTTCATAATCTTGGAACATTGCATGAAAATCTTATATAATGTACCACCGACCAACCAGTTTCCGAAGTTCTTAGATCGAACAAATGGCAAACAATGAGAAAACACCTTTTCCGTTCTCTCTCATTTCTGAGAAAGGGAATATCTGAGCACTTTATGTTCCAATTTGCAACAATATTCTGATAGTGGCCTTCTAGAAGACAAAAAATGGGCTTTCAAAACAAAAAATAGGCCTCAGTCAGCACAAATATTTTGAGTGAAGCCTTCCAAGATGGAAACTGAAAAACGTCGGCTGCTTTGAGTAATCAGGTTATGACCATCTTTTCCGCAAAAACCGACCGGTCAGTTTCGAACAACAGCCACTAAACTTCACGGCAGCACGTTATCGCTCCTGTGGCCGTGTTGGAGGGGCGCTATTTCGTGAGTGACCAAAAAAAACAGTAAAAAAGCTCGAACACCTGAGAATTCAGCTTTGTTAGACTACTTTACGGGCCACGCTTTCGTATGTTTCTCGTATAGCTATACTTCTTGAGCTATACGGTCTGTAGGAAGATTAGAAAAAGATCTGGAAAAATTCTGCGTTCGAGAAGAAAAGAGTAACAGAGGTGTGCCGCGCCGCCTTGCGCGGTCTATAAAGCGTGACACACGATGGAACCACGTTGTCGACAAAATGATGATACAGCTGGTGATCTGCTTATCGTTAGCACGGAGTTATTAGGCAACGCGTGAACCCTTCAAAAAACTCAAAAAAGTACAAATAATGTTATCAAGGGTTTGAAAACGACGACTAACTAAGAATAAAGAAAAATGAAGGGATTTGAGTACAATGAATAGAATAGTTTGATGATACACTAAACATTCACTTATATTACTTTATATTAACTTCTTCACCTTTCGGGCTGGTTCTGAGTATACCAAAATGACCAAAAAAATAAGGGTGCCTGGATCTCTAGCTGGTTTCAAGAGACAGTTCAACCTCTATCTGTGTCCTGTGTAATATAATTTTCTTATGTTTTGTTTTGAGTTTCAATTTCATTTTTTTTTGTGCTATTATTAGCATGGTAAGTTCAATTGTAACTAAAGAATGAAACTGTATTTCAATATTCTATAAATTCACAGCGTACCTTTAAGTGTGAAAATGTGCTTGAGTCACTTCTTACTCAGCTGTCAGTGAGTGCAAAACACTATTACAGGTGTTCAAAATATGTTGAATTTAATGCCTATCTAATGAGCAAAACAATAAGCCTAACATGAATTTATCTGTTCAGTACAAATTTCAAGCATGTTAAAGAGGGCTGGAGCAACCCCCACCTATTTCCGCACTGAGTGAACCTTGACATGTCATCTAGCAGGTACAAAGTATCCACAATACGATTTTGAAAATTAGCTCTCCGCGAGTACTTTTGATAAACGCTGCTTTGAAGTAGTGCCAAGTTTAATCTGGTGGCAAGTTTGTGTCGTCCGCCGATAAACTAAATCCAAAGGGAGCGTGTCAGAAGATCCGTCTAAACTCGACAACTTGGAATCGTCTTCTTGCAATGGAGATTATTGGTTAGTTTGACCCGTTCACCACCAACAAGGGGCAATTGGGTGAATCTTCACATATCATGAGCGCTGTTGATAGGCAGTTCCTGCTTTGAGGGCCATTGGTGCACTTAGAAAAGAAAATCTAACGATTTCTGCAACGGTTTCATTTCAAAATCATTGCCCTTATCATCCCTTCCATGTGCCGGCAGTGGGCGTGCCAGAGAACCGGAGGAGCGTCTTGAGCACCTTCGACTCCTTAATCCATTCGTGACAATGTCAGCCACCGGTGGCTGCCAAAGATCTCACTTAGGCAATTGTCCATCCACCGTTCACTAACGGGTTTCAAACGGAATTTGGAACATTTTCTTCCATGAGAAGAATCATCATATCCTCATTCATCTACGACAGTCGTGGGCAGAGGGAATCTCCGTCCACTCAAATTTTATCGAACAAAAATCTACGACTGTACTGCTATTCGCGCAAACCCCGCGCGGCTCGCCGCCCATTGGATAATCATGCCGTTGGCGGGCATCCTAAGAGAAAGCTTCCTCTCTTATCTACCTGGACATTTCTCTATCTTCTTCACTAGCCATCTTTTGCTTTCATGAGCATCCGTCTCATCGTAATTTCGCCATTAATTTACCCAGAAGTTAACTCACAGTAGTAAAAATGCGACAGCATAAGAGGGTGTCACAGACTCCGATACTGCTAAGTAATCAAAAATCTGAGCCTCTTGCCGAAGTCACAATTGGTTTCCAGAAGAATTTTGCATTCGAAAGAAAAACTTTATATCTTGAATCGGCGCCCTGGTGACGCAATCGGTAGTAACTGCCTAGGAAAAAAGAGGTGTAGGCTCGATTTCTGTCTGATGAGAAGCGTTTTGCCCAGAATTGCGCACTATTGTGACACTTTTAATGCAGCGAAAAGCAACAGCTAAAAATCGAAAAAGCTGTTGCATTTCTAAGGGAACTGGGGTACGATGTCAAAAAAGCGACTTTTGAAAGCCAAGGGTTTACGATACCCGCTAATATCAGGCTTGAGCAGTAAGCGAAAAGGGATGAAATGATTTCCCTGAAGCGGAAGACTAGGAAAATCGGGCCGATCCGAGAATCTCAGATATGATAGTATATAACAGATAATAAAATCGACTAAAGTCCACTTGACGGCTTAATATAAGGATAAAGCATTTGCCGTTGATCAATCCCTTTTTGGGATGCGGCACGCATTCTACTTCCATTTGTACATTCGTAGTGGCGTTTGAATGCGATGTGGCCTATACAATGACTTGCGGGGGCCAGCCGATGTACAAGTCAGTGTTTTTATCCTCCCAGACAAGTCTGGTACCAATTAACCGACCCCGGAGGGATGGAAGGCTTGGTTGGCCCGGGCGACTCACGACCCAGGATTTGATCCCCGGACCGCTCGCGTGGTAAGCGCGCCACTTGCCACTACACCATCTGCCCTACGGCTCAACATAGAAGAAATAAAAATCATTGGTCAAAAAACACAGGAAGATATTTCAAGATAGCTGACAAATATTCGAAGAAAATAACACAAACTCATGGCGAAGATTAACGAGATGATGCTAGAAATTATGCTTTCCCTAGCGTTGATCAAGCTTGCAGTAAAGCCAGTTATTTCTTACTTTCAGGTGCTGAACTAAAGATAAACTTGAAAAATAACTACAAAATGACAAAGCCGAAGAAACCAGTCAACCAGGAGATTGGATTGGAAGCTAAGTCGATCAATATAAACGACGTATCTGGTTCTACGGCGTCGACAGTCAAAGCCGGCTAATAACCAGCTGTCCTTGGTGGTCGAAGATTCCCCACTCAGGGTCAGGCGCAAACTTCGACGACGGGGTTTTGTTCGAGGAAAAGTATTGAATGGTATCATTTCGAGCAATAAGAGCTGAAATATTTTTCAGGCAAATTAGGATTTTTCGCTCATTTTGCTGCCTAGCAGACCTTTGTCCGCCGATCCACAGAATTTTTGGGAGAAATCGGGAGAAACGAGGTGGGTGGCTTTACGGGGGGGGAAGGGGGAAGATGGGTCATAAGTGAGCAATTCCCATAACGTTTGGATCTTCACCAATTTTCATGCTGAAAACTATAAAGGTCGTTTGGAAGACGGTTCCTGTTGAACGAATAGTGAGGGAAAAGAAGCTCCTTATTCAAGCTTAACCACGCTTCATGGAACATTGGAGGAAAGGTGCCCCAAGTATCAGGTTGGGAAAATTTCTTTGCGAACTTCTAATTTTTGAAAGTTCAAGCATTTGACATCGTATCTTTCCGTGCATAACTTCTCCCCAAAATATTATAGTATTGAAATCA